GGGCACTTAGTCCAATATGACCAATGTCCTTATAAGACAGCCATGTGAAGAGAAAAACACACCCAGAGAACACCATGTGACAATGAAGGCACAGGTTACCAGTAAACCACCAGAAGCTGGGAAGAGGCCAGGAAAGATTCTCCTATGGGCTTCAGAGAGAGCACAGCCCTGCTGACGCCTTGATTTCAGACTTCCAATCTCCAGGACTGGGAGACAGTAAACTTATGTTTTTTTTAAGCCACCCAGTTTGTGATGTTTTGTTAAGGCAATTGTAGGAAAATAATACAGAAGGGTATGAGAAACCAGAAATAGATGCTAAGACATTCATTCAGAGGCTGCACAGAGAATCACCAGCACCTAGGTCTAAAGCATGGAGGGGAGGAGGCTTCACTGAAACCTGCGGCTGTCAGGGAGAAGCTGTAGCTTCCAGGAGAGGAACGCAGCCACCACCAAACCACCTCTTGGCAGGAAGGGGTCTGGGATGATAACGCCCCACCTCACTCTCCTCATTACAGTTTCCCCCCATTAGCAGTTTCCAAGGCTTAGATAAGCCAAATGGGATGCCAGAGAGTAAAGGAACCAAGTGGGTATGTCAAAGTGGAGGGGCAAACAGACTCAGTCCCGACTGCGAAGTCGCCTCCCCTTCGGGGAAGCCTTCCCCGCCCTTCTGACCAGAAGCTGGCCCCTACGACGTGCTCTCACAATCCTGCTCCTGCAGAATACTTACTACAGCCACAATGGAGGAGCTAATTATACAAATTATTAAGTGATGACTGGCTCTCATGCTAGCATATAAACTCTGTGAGAGAAGAGACATCTGTCATTCATCAGTGAATCTCCAGAGTCTGGCCCATAGCAAGAAGGACAAGATTTATAGGATGTGCCAAAAGCTAGGCAACCTGATATAAAAAGATCAAGTATATAAATCCGAAGAGGTTGCCCTTGGCAACTTTCAAAAACTATAAAGCATGGTCACCATTACATTCTGCAGGTGAGTACTGATGGCACAATTTATAATATCCCCAAATGTGACTGGCTAGAGCACTTGCTCACAGTCCTCCAGGAGTGAGGCGAGGCAGAGGTGGGTAAGGAGAGCATCCACTATGGGGGCCAAGCAAACTGGAGCAGCTCTTGTCTACCTTTTATCAAGGCAGTCTGGTCTCAGTCACTCTGGGGAAACCAAAAAAGCTTAACCGGATCTTTCCCCTACTAACGTAGGAATTAGGGCCCAGACTCTCCCTCAGATACGGGAAACCATCTTTGCTCTTGCCTTTTTGCTTACCAGATGACCCCCTTCCTAACTTCTGCTGTACTCTCTAATTCCAATTACTAATTTACCAGTTTAATTTCAAAGATTATTAGTCTTTAAATTCAAAAGGGTAGGTGTCAAAATTCAAACACTCTCCTTTTTTTAAGCACATACATGTTTAGGCTGTCATATAATGGGATGTAGTGGTGGTTTCTAAGTATTTTACAATATTTGGCTGTGTGTAATTCAACATCGCTGACCTAAGAACCCTTCGGAAAAGATAGATGAGCTCAATAAAGATTAGGAAACTCCAGCTCAGATTTGGAAGACAACATTTCATTGGATTGCTCTTTTTACACATGGGTGAATCACCCTTATCCAACTTTGCCAAGAGGGAGTTTGCAGTGGACACAACGATCATTACAACATCCTCAGAGCCTTTGTGCACATACTATTGATCTCCTCATTTGATGGTTCTTTTGATTACCACTGTAAATGTCAATAATGCTTCCTCTAGGTATTAACTGTTAACATCACCGCAGAGAGTCCACCATGTATATCTACTCTGAAAATGGAGCAGCCCTATCAAGTTTAACTTCTAAGGCAGGAAGCAAAAACCTTGTAATCAATCAAATAGCTGCCGTAACCTCCTCTCAGTTGGCCTGACTTACCTTGCCCACATGTTTGTCTTGAGGTTGGCATTGTCATCCCATTAACAGGCAAGCAGCAGGCCCCTGAGCCTCCCCTGATCAGCAAGACTCCGCTGGGCAGTTGGGCAATAAAACAGTTGCCGACAGGAACTGGTTTCCTCAGGCACAAGTGCGTCACAGAGGAGGTGTTGACTCAGAGGCGGGACCACCGTGAAAGCCAGTTGGGAGGCAGAGCTGCCCCAAGTGAGCCATGCGGAGGATCTGCTCCTTCATCCATCTCTCCCTCTTCTGGGCAGGTAAGGCAGATCCTGGGACCCCAGCCAAGCAAGACTCAGCAGCACAGGAGACGTCAAGGCTCCCAGGACCTGGAACTCAGAAACGTTGCCTCTTGCCCAGTGATCTCAGCCCCCAGTCCTCACTGGGCCCCTCTTCTATCTTTTCCCTCAGGAGTCATGCCAGCTGCTGTGTTGGTGCCTGTAAAACCAGAAGTGCCTGTGTCTGTTGGGGAGTCTGCCACCCTCAGGTGCTCTATGCAAGGTGAAACAATCGGTAACTACTACTTAAATTGGTACAAGAAGACCCAGGATGGCGCACTGACTTTCATATACCGAGAACCTAACACCTATGGCCCTGGTTTCACGGACCGTTTCAAAGGAGCTGTTGATAATCAAAACAACCAGGGTGTCCTGAACATTTCTATGGTATCAGAGAGAGACGAAGGACTTTACTACTGTGCCTGTGATTACCACCCTGCTGCAGGTCTACTTCTGAGCAGCTCGAAAACCACTGAGTTCCGTGGAGAACAGCAGGGCCAGAAATGCCATGACTTTCTCTCAAACAAATAATTTAAGAAATGGAAGCCAAAGAAAGCTGGCATCCCTGCCTTTCCTGAAGGCTCAGTCACTCTCGTCTTGCCCACACACTCCACGATGCTCAGACAGGCAACCGCCCAGCAGGGTAAGGCCCAGTGTGGAGCAGAAGGGAGAGATGGAACAAAAGGAACGAATTATAGCATCGACTCTCACAGTTTTCTTAGAGCTTTATAATAGATTTGGCCACAGACCCCAAAGTGCTGAGGGTATGGCAAGGATTAAAGAGGCGCTTTCCAAAGAAAACAATGGGAAGCATCCAGCTTCTCCCCAGTCATATGCACCATGAATCTAGATGTTCTGGAAGAGCAGGGCGGGGACAGTGACCTGTCTTCAGCATCAGATAGTGTGTCCTGCCTGTCACCCTGCCCCACACGGAGGGCGAGGCTCCATCCCCGCATTCTGTACTCTTCTGATGATCTCTGGCTGAACATGCAATTTCCTTTCTACCTCTTTACTTTTTCCATATGTGCTAAAAACAAAATATTGAAAAATTGCTTCTATTGGCACTTTTTTATCCTTTTTGGGACACCTCAATTTAATACTACACTTCTGTCCTAAAAAAATGTAGTTTTCTAAATTTAGGTGATTGACAGGGCTTTCTATCCTAAGGCTGAAACCGTAGCAGAAATTAGCCTTCCTGCTGGCCTCATCTAGAAAATCTACCATTCACCTTATTAGATAGCTTGTTGTAACTTACGGTGATGGATATGTTCGGTAACTTGGTTGTGGTGAGGGTTTCACAGATGTACAGGTATATCAAAATTCATCAGACTAAGTACTGCAAATATGTGCAGTTTATTTCATATCAAATGTGCCTCAATAACGTTGTGAAAGTATCTGTTAACATCTAAAATGAACATTCATAAAGCTTCCTTGGACTACATCAGGCAATAGCTAGGTAAAACTTTCTCCAACTAACACTTCTGATCAAATACCCTGCCTTTGGCAGAAGCACAAGGGGCTGACTTGGGTCTGCCCCATGCACATTGGCTTCCAATCAGAGCACTCACTCTCTCACCCAGGGCCCTCCCAGTCCTCCCTCCTCTTGTGGCTCGGTCTGGCCATTCATATATGTACACATTTTATATAGCCATAAATGTTACGGTGTATAACTGTTCCATGCACTTAGTTGCGACTTTCTCCATGACCTCATTTATCTCCCCAGACACTTACATCACTCTCCCCCTCTCTTCATTCCTAAGCCCACTCACTCTGTCCTGCTGCCAAATTCTGACATGGACTTGTCACCTGCCTTCTACTTTTCTGCCCACCCCTCTGGGTATCTTCTTGGGTTGAACTGTCTACAAGTCCCTGGACATTGGTTCTGCCCTTGGGCATAATCAATTTCCCAAATGCCCATCTGGACAGGGCACCTTGAACCCAAAGTTCTGGAAAGGCATTTGGACCCAGTCTCCCTAGGATGTGTTCAGGTCACCATAGAAGGCGCATCACAACTCATCAAGCCCACCACCTGCTGCTCATATCCAGTTAGTCTTCTTTGGGCAAATGATAGGCAGGAAGGTAGAGTGTATCTCCAACACTGAGAGGGTACAATTCTTTTCCCAGTTTGAAATTATGACTTTGGAAAAGAACAGCATCTGGAAAGCTGGTTACACAGATGTCGAGGTTTGGAAACACGGTTTTATATGGTGTACAAGATAGATCCCTAGTAAGACACCCAAATGAGTCCTCTGAGGGACACCAGAAAGAATGACTCTGAGGAGAAGGAAGTAAAAAGGATACCTGGAAAATCCATAAAACTGTATGTTAGCTGTAATAATAACTAACAAATGTTGAGTGCTTACCATGTGCTATAGGTACCATCCTAAGCACTTTGAATATGTCATTCGGTTTAACCTTCACAATTACCCTAAGATTCATTTTCTATTATTGTCCCCATTTTACAGATGAGGACCTTAAGGCACAGAAAGGCTGAAACACTTGCCCCAAATATTATAGCTAATAATGGAGAGCAACAGAAGCTGGAGTCCATGCTGGAGAATTCAGAGTATAATTCAAGGAGGTGGGGGCCCAGAGAAGAGGCCATCTCCAGGACATGTCAGAAACAAGGGCAACAGGGGCTATCCATCAGACCTGTCCAAATTAATGCTCCATGACTCTGTCAAAACACTAGGACAATAGAGCAGTGGTCCCAAGTGACCTCTCAAACATCTTCTAACTCTGGGATTTCATGATCCTGATGTGAGCTTTACAGTCTTCTAAAATCATCTATATCTCTCTATCTATGAAATGGAAATAATGAGTTCCAGCTTCACTGTGTTGTAAAAATCTAATGCTAAGAGGTCAATAAATTGCACTGCACATAGTAAATACTTGATACATGTTACTCATTAAAAGAAAGAGCAAACTATATGGTAGAATAATTGAGTACAAAGTGAACAAATTACTGATCATCAGCAAGATGCTATTTTGCAGATATGAACTCACACTTATGACAACCCAGTAAAGTCATTTTCATCAGCTCCATCTTATAGGTGGGGAAACTGAGCCTCAGGGAGACTGGATAGCTTGTCTACAGAAGCAGAGCCAGAATCTGGGTCTGACTTGAAGGCCAAGTTGAAGCTCCTGCCACTAGGTTAGGAGCCATGGGATATCCTAAAGAAATACCTTCCCACTAGCAACATCTCAAGTAAAGGCTGGCTGGGAACAGGGGCCTGAAGTCCAATCATCTTTGCTGATTCACAGGTGACTTTTGATTCGTTGGCCACTTTCCAAAAGATGGAATGGGAGTGGGGGCAGCCACCTCCTTCCACTTCCTGTTTTCCCTCCCCTTCTTTAAAACATCAATGGCAATTTCAGCTTCCGACCTGTTCTCCTGAGATGCCTCACTCTCATGGTTGAAGGAAGAGAGCTGCTATTCAGCTCAGCCCACTTACACTCCTGAGCACACCCTGGGTCAGCCCCTTTTCTCTCAGGCTACACTCTAAGAAATGAGCCCACCTGTGCCTTTCTTTTGAATACTTCCCTAAGGCAGTACCTTGTTGGACTCCCTTAGAGTCTCTGGAGGTGCCCATGCATTCACTGCCTTCTCCTCCCCCTCTCAGGGGTCTGCCTGGAACGGCAACCTCAGGGGCCTGGGCCTGGTGTAATAAGAGCTGCAGAGATTCTGTGGGTTTCTGTCAGGTCCATAGAATCGCTAACTTTACCACCCATATATATCTCTTCTGGGAGGCAAAGTGTGCAAGTTTGTCTCTGCCATTGTTATCAACTTATCACTTACACCAAGGCCACAAGAGGGCTCAAGATGTGACATTCACAGTTCTCTGAATTCAAAAATGAGCAAATAGAACCAGAAGACACTGGGGGATTAAGAGGCAGGAGCCATTGTGCAAAGAATAGAAATTAATTTCTAGCCAAGCCTTCGCTGCTTCAGGTAGGTCTTAGCCCCTGCCGTGTCTCAGCTAACACATGCAGGCTGAGAAATTTTCTACACTGACAAGGTGAACAAACGCAGAATCGAGGCTTCTTTCCTACTCGTCAATTCAACACATTTCCCCAAAATACTAATTGAAATGATAGGATTATACAACTTTAGTTTTTTTGTCAAAGTGCTTTATTCATCTGCCAGCAAATACCATCTCTTGTATCTGCTTCATTTTTCTCCAGAGTATTTGTCACTATTTGATGTGCTACGTATTTTACTGGTTTATTCTTCTACTGACCAGCTATCTGTCCCCTGGAACATAAGAAGATCCTTGACGGCAGGGATTTTTGTCTGTTTTCTTCATTGCCTTAACTCCAGCACTTAGAACGAGTCTGGCCCAGAACAGGCATGCAATCAATGTATTACACAGATGAATGAATGAATGTAATACAAGTGAGTGCTGTGTCACCTGCCCTGGGCTGGGTGCTGGGAAGAAGACCCAGACCTGTTTCCTCTATTGAGTCCCAAGATCCCAGGCCATGAGTCTTGGGCTGTCAAGGAAAAAGCTAAACACTTCTATTTTATTTCACGAAGGAATTTTGCAAAGCTTCTCTTCCAACAGCCCCTCTGGGGCATGCTCTTTCACAATCAAAAGCCACAATAACACATTTCCCTAAACAAAAAAGCAATTCCTAACTCCCTTTCACTCTACCACTTGGACTACCAAATGATTTTGATACTCCACAAGAATACAGAATCCTCTGGGGCATTGTTTTTTTAAAAAAACAATTTACATATACATAAACACATATGTTTGTGAATGGTAACAGCATAGTTAGAGTGCATCAAACACTAGAATTCTCTGAAGGCATGCCCCAGATGCTCCAGCGCCCCCAGGCCGCAGGCAGCCAGTGCTGCGCTATATTTAATGGGAAAAAGACCTGGTGTCGGGGAAAGTCCAGCCAAAATGCAGTCACTTGTATTGATGCAAATAAAGCCAGGTTCTCGAACTCTGTGAGAACTCTTTTAAATAAGATATCTAACAGGCATGAATAAGTTTTCCTTTTACCTGCATGCTTGTGGGCAAATAGAGAAGTTTAAATTATCCTCTTCTGGCTCAAGGAGAAAACTTCATGAGTATTCATAGCGTTTATACTTACACTAAAGTAAAAGCCATAAATATCTTTTAATCAGTATAAATATATTCCTAGAGCAACAAATTATTAAGAAAGAAAACCAATCCAAGGTAGAGACTTGTGGAGATTAAAGTTGCTTTCATAAACAAAACGATCGTTATCCGTTCATTCGATAACAATTTATAAAGTGCCTACTATGTGCCGGGTACTTTTCTAGACACGTTGGGACTAGGCACAGCTGCCAGACACCTCAGAAGCTTACATTTTAATGGAAATAAACACAAAATAAAATAAATAAGTAAAATATACGTGAGATGGCAATCATTGCCATGGAGAAGAAGGAAACAGAGGGAGAGACTACGTTAC